GGGGACATATAGAAACAAAAAAATAGAAAAGTAGCTGCCAGGAGGTGAGGGTAGTGAGGTTGGGGGAAACAGAGAGAGATGATAAAAGGGTACAATCTATCAAGTTATAAGACAAATAAGGTCTGAGGGTCTAACGCATATCATGATGACTACAGTTGGTAACACTACACTGTATAATTGAAATTTGCTAAGAGAATAGAACTTAAATGTTCTAACCCAAAAAGGAGGCAGGGGGTTAGATGTGAGGTGATGGATGTGTAAATTAACTCGATGGAGTTGGGGGGTTGCTTTCACAATGTATACATATATCAAACCATCAGGTTATATAATTTAAATATCTTACAATTTTATTTGTCAATTATACCTCAGTAAAGAGGAAAAATAAAATAACTCAAACCTAAATGCATGACTAGGTTTAACAAGAAAATTTAAGCCCTACATTTCCAACTCTACAAAAGGCCTCCTTTTTGTCTTTCCAATACAGGGGTGGGCAAAAGTAGGTTTACAGTTGTTCATATGGAAAAAGACATGCAGGTTATTATTATAATAGCTTTATTAACTCAAAAGAATGTCACGATGCAACTGTAAGCCTACTTCACTCACCCCCCATATTATAAGCTCAATACCACAACGCTGTTGTACTTGCTAATAACACCTCTTTATCAGAATGACCCAGCAAAACACACACACACACACACACACACACACATTATATCATATCACTGGCTCTTCTACATTCAGGACTCAGCCCAAACAGGCCTTCCTTACCACTCTAATAAAAAAAAGAATTCCATCACTTTTCAGTTTTAATTATGGTCTTATTGTATCATACTGTGAAGACAAGGGGGACTAGGGCCCTCAGGGTTTGTGAAATGCTGTCTTCTTTTTTCTACACTGATTAGCAGGAAGACTTCTTCCTATATAAAGAGACTTCCCTTGAACTATCTGGCTACCTAGCAGTAGCCACTAACCATATGTGGCCTGACTACTTAAATTTACATTTTAAAACTCCATATTCATAAATAAGGTCTGTTGGTATGAATCAGCTGAACTATAAATAGTAACTTCTCTTCACTTTTCACCTGAAAATGAACATCCTTGTTATAAGCACCGAGTAGAGATTTTTCAAATGAAAGAATCAACGGGGGGGGGGGAGTTACTGTCCCATTACCTTCACAAGATTAAAAATTAACACCAACAGACAACTTCTCATCAGAAGCAATGAAAGCCAAAACAATGAAATGTAAATTTCAAAGTGGTCAAATAAAACAGAATTCCACCTCCAGCAAAAACACTCATTAAAAATAAAGGTGAGAAAACTTCTGCTTCAGCTAGTGACAGACCAGTGATCTCACTAAGAACTAAAAAAGCTGGGGAGGGAATCAGAATTCATCCTTTTGAAGGCAGCAGAGAGCTACTAAGGTAATGAGAACAGAAGGAGCTAAGACTCCAGGGAAGGAACTTTGGAGAAGAAACTGATTTCTACAGCTGCTTTCACCCTGGGGTCTTTGCTGATTCGACAAAAATCAGCAGTTGGCAGGAGGCTGGGATTAGCATTGGCAGGTAAAGACTCCAATCCACAACATGCATGTGTGTGTAATTTTCACATGCATCTTCTCAAGGAAGATAAAATCCCTAGAGTAGTAGGGTATCCAAACCTAAGTCTGTATCAAGCCTGATTCAGTGGATGTGTGTGTGCACACACGTGTGTGCTTACGTGTGTGCACACGTTTTAGAACAGCCTTGCTATTATAGTACAATCATAACGGTTGTATGGCTTTTTGTAAAGAGCAGGGTAGTTTACTAGATTAAAAATAAGTAAAGTGGTGTTAAATCCATTATGTTAGAATCATGGACTTTTGGAGATAGAAACCCCTTAGAAATATAGAGCCANCATGGTAGCTCTGAAGCAAAATAGACCTTACAAATTATGTACAAATATAACAGTATTTTTCCCTGAAAAGCTGTTATAAAATTTATGTTTTGGGTAAACTATGATTACCTAATACTTAGTCTCACACCAATTTATGCCTGATTTTTCATACCACTGCCCAGAGCAGGGGTGGGGAACCTTTTTTCTGTCCGGGAAATCATTTGGTCTGGCACTGCCAAGGCAACCACAGGCAGGACTTGAAATTTGATTAAATGTTTGACCAAATATAGCAGGCTAATTTTTAAGTTGATAGTTTTGTATGGCAGGGCCAAACCAAATTGGCCCGCAGGCCGGATGTTCCCCATCCCTGGCCTAGAGTAAATGTCTGTGTTATACCTTTTATTGTACAACTAGGCACAATCTGCCATACATAAAAACAATACTCTAAAATTAAACTGGAAAAGTATGTTAAATACAGCACCATAACAGTAGTGATAATGACATCAAAAGGTGACTCTAATAGGGCTTTCAAATGGTGACACATAAAAGGGATATTTCAATCTTAAGAAAAACTGAAACTAAAAACAATGCATTGTAACAACCATCTATAAAAATTGTGAAAGGAAAACTAGGCATTTCATATCAAGAATAAGAGAAATCTTAAATATAGCCACTTAAGCCTGTAGATATTCAGGTTTAGAGTCAAATCATATTAAATGAAATTTAAGTGGTAATACCCAGAATGTCATTAAATTATCTGATATCACTTAGAATGATATGGGTAATCACTTCTGTTTTAAGTAAGGTAAGTTAAAACACTTACCTGGGTTTCATATAAGTGGGCAATGTGAAATTGAACTGCAAAGATGATGGAAAATAGAAATCAAAACAAGTATTTGGGGTAAATGAAGCAAAACTATAAAATATAAAATATAAGCACAGTCTATACTACATTGACTTAAGTAGTAATGGAACATAACTTATTTTTTAATAAAATAGAATATACAAACAAATATACACAAACACAGTTAAGAAACCACATGTATTCATTGTTGGCCATTATCAAATTTTGTCAATGTAATTTTTAAAATTAATATTAAAATCTATAGCAAATGAGTATAGTTTTTAATTTTTTCCAATTAGTTTATATTCAGTATTATTTTGTATTAGTTTCAATGAGTATACTTCTTACAAATTTCAAAATGGTCATATTAAACAAATAGAGAAAACTTTTATAATCTATACATTTCAAAGCGTGGTATTTAAAAACTGAGTTCTAGGTGAAAAAAATACAGTCACTATTAGTAAAAAACACATTAAAACAAAAAGAAACCTCTAGTATTATTCTTATACCATATTTCATATCAAAAAACATTTATAAAGAAGTCATAGACCAGGATCACACAGGTAATAACACAGAGAAAATCTGTTGTTGCATTTCTCTATCAGTTATTCAGAATTTTTTTTTTTTAAGTCAAACCAGTTGGAAGGCAAGAATAATAAACAGTCCCAAGATTAACAAGTATGCCTTGAAATCAAATAAATTATGTCAGCTTTTACTTTCAGCTCTTCCTAATAGTGCATCACCAGAGTATGAATGATTCAACGAAAGCAACAATGAATCAGGAATCAAAACTGGATTCTAGCTACTTATATACTCATTTTTATTCTTTAATGACAATGTTCTATCTACCTGAATTTCACAGCTGGATTTCAAGGAGTCTGGGAGTATTTCAAAATTATATGCAGAATATTTATGTGGAACTTTAAAAACAAGGTCCAGAGCTATCATCAATTTCTTATTGGAGAATATACCATGAAATAACTGATTCCTGTAACTGTAAGATTCACCTGGAAGGCTTGTGAAAAATAGAGATTCCCAAGATTATGATTCAGTGAGCCTGGGGCAAGGCCTGGAAAACTGCCTTTTTATTCAGTTCTGCAAGGTATTCTGATACCTAGTCCCTAGACAACCTACCACCAGGAAACAACTGATCTAAAAAACCTGAAGATCAAAACAAACAAAATATATAATGAACTTGAAAAATAATGCCACTTTTAGATCAAAAGTTAAGTACTACATAACTCCATAAATAATCATTAAATATCACATGTTAACTAATCAGAGATGAGGCAAAATAAAAATATCTTTAGAAGATGAAAATCAGTTTTGCAAAAAGCACATAAAAAAAATAATAATAATAATAAAAGTTCCATTGGGAAGAAAAAGGGATATCTGTAATATTCTAAAAAACAAACAAAAAAATCTTTACCAAAGAAAAAGAAAAAAAAAGTTCCACACATGTAAACATCCCCTTTACCTATACCCGTTGCAAGGCTTTTCTTATTCCCCACTACCCTTTCCAATACAGCTCTCCTTGAGCTCCAGTCCACATCTCACCTCACTACATCACTGGAGGGAGACTGGGTTACAGGTTAAGGGAATGAGAGAGAGAGAAAAAAATCTATGTCCACTTCCCCCAATCTTCTTAATCCTCTAATAAAGGTAACAAGGAAGAAAAGATCAGCAGCCAGCGGGCACGCTACTACCATCCCAAACTTCCACCAGGCTCACTCCTAGGCCTTTATGTCAAGGGCTTCCCTATCCCATGAGTTACTAAATCTAGTGTCATCTTTTGTACTGTGAAAACCACCATGGATTTAAATTCTTAAAAGTATTCTTCAAAGTGGAACATAACCATACACCTAAGAAAAAACTCCACCTGGAAAGTCTCAATTAGTGGTAGAAATACTGAACAAATATTGCCATAAAAGGTTCTGAAATTAAACTTTATTTAGAAATTAATACATTATTTTTAGAATTAACAGAATTTTTAAAGTCTCAAAGAAACAATTTTACCCCAAGGGGCAATCATATAATGAAAAGTCTAGTATCATCATGACAGTAACTGTAATTAACCCTTCTTAAATAGCTCTAGAAACAAGTATATCTACTTATTTTTTAATTGTATAATGAATTGTGCCACAAAATACAAATTTCTCATACAGACTTTTTAAAAAGCTCACTTTACTTTCTATTATCTTCTGGTCTTTGCAGTATCACAAGGTAACATGAAGATTTCAAGGTCTGTGGCATATACAATAGGTAATGACATAAAAAAATGCAAAGAGAAATAAGTTTTACAAAGACAAAGAGCCTGGTGTTGAAACAGTAATAATATCTGGCCCAAGGCAGGTAGTCTACGTTGCTCTGTGAGACATCAGCCACTAATGAAGTTATCAAGTAATCATGAAGACTGTTTAAAATAAACTACCCAAATCAACTTAACTATAATGGCCTAATGTCTCTAAATAAAGCACATGCCCTTCCATTAGAACGACCAATCCTTGAGTACTCAAAGTCCTGAATCCAGGGAAATTCCCTGGGCAATAGAGGACTACTTCCCTTTTCAATAAACAGAGAGAGAGGCACAGTCAACTCAAAGATGTATTTCATGATGGCTGGAACTGTCCTCTCCAAATGTGACAGAAAAGTTTTCTTCCCTTTGATATTCACTCTACGTAGGTGTTTTCCACTCAGGAGCAATGATCTACAAGTGAGATTTTACCTCAACAGAGTAGAATGAGGATTTGCCAAAATATTTAGTTTCACATTTATAAAGTATCCCTCAAAAGTTATTTAAACTGACAAATAGTTATGAAACTTGGCTTTAAGATACTAGATATAAAAAAATTAAATGAAAATCAGCCGTTTTCTTACTCCCATAAATTAGATGATTTATATAACCTGGATATATAATTATGGAAAAAGTATAAATTAACACCTTATAAATTAATACTTATAAATTAATATACCTATGAGTTAAATTCTTTTTCTAATCTAACCTCATCTTAGAAATTAAAATATTGCTGCATTTGTTACCTTCCCATCACTTATTCTGCAAATACACTGATCAGTACAAAATCCTGCATTTCATTGAAAGAAAACAGAAATCTTTTGTTTTCTCAAGAAATTGCGTCTTGGAGAAGTATGAGATAATTGGTCTGGTTTAGATGATGATTTAATCCTTCTTAGGCATTTTTAACACTGATACTACTTTTCACTTAACATCTTTCTATATGGTTAAAAAAAGAAGTCACTTATAGCAAAATACTGACTTTCTAAAACCTAGAATCCTTTAATTGATCTTAAATTTTCATTAAGAATGATTTCTTTTTAAAATTCTTATTTTTCAAGTAAGAAAGTTTTAAAGAAAGCCAGCTTGAACCCAATGAATATTCTTAAAACTTTTATTGGCTACTTTAAAGTACACTAAATAAACATGACAATACATACTTATTGATAAACACATCATAATCAACCCAATCTGCTTTTGGAAGGAGACCTACATAGAAGCAGAAAATAACTGTCTTAAGAAAACCACTGTATCAGAATATGCTTCACATGTACATTCTTTCTGAATTAATTAAAAAATGTCACCTCAAACTTTATATATAAAGTGTGAAACTATAATAAAAAGTCCAAGTATGTGTTCATAATTACCAATAATTTGGGAATCGTTGAGCTACCATATGTGAATCTTTGTATACTTTTTTCTTAAAAAACTAGCAAACCCTGTTATTAATCTCCCCATATCATCTACAATATATCAATCTTGCTTATTGGTGCAGGTAATTTTAATTCAACAACTCAGTTCACTGGCATATCTATTTTAGACACAGGCTGTTCACAATAACTGGTCTGACATGTTCCATTTGTACGAGTAGCCATGGCAACCAATACAGTTAGATTCAACAATTCTACAAGGAAAAACTGCACAGGATTTATCACTATCATTATTATTATTACTACTACTATTTGCTGTGAAGTGATCTGAATACATGTAGAAAACTATGGTAATTAATACTTACTTTCAGCATTGGACAAAGTGCAGGGATTACAGTCAACCAAAGCTAACTGAAAATGCTGTAAGAAGAGAGTGGGAAAATTAATGTGCTAAATTCAGTCATATAAATGTGTTTTAAAATAATTTTCAGGTATGTAAGGTCTAACATAATAATAAAACTATACTATGCAAATAAAACATACTAGACAACCAACAAGAATTACTTTGAACATTTACTAATAGGAACAGACAGGCTGTTAAGAATGGAGAATCTGGGAAAGAATTAACAAGTTACCTATGCATATTTTCGTTTATATGAAAAAAGCTTTGGATTTTTGAGTCTTCAAATAAAAAGTATTAGTTATAAACAGTTTAAACAGAGCGCATCACTATTTAAAACTGAAAGTAAAGATCAACGGCATTAATGTCAGAACACCACTGCTTATCTCAAAATGAGATGTGGACTTTAGAAACAACAAAAACTGTTATGAGAATCATCATAAAGGGTGAAACTATTTGCCCTTACGAATTCTTTAATAATCATTGTATTTAGTGCCTTTTAAAACTAGTTGAAATACTAAGAATGCACAGGCTACAAATAGCCTGTGTTCAAGTTCATTTATGAAATATAATTATCCTTTTAGAATGTGCTATCATATGTGTAAGAGTTATAACATCCACTTTAAATAATGTCGTATAAGCCTGCCCAAAAAATACATGTTAAATTTAATGTATAACATAATAAAAAACACTGTGTGACATCTAGTTTGTCAACGTTAAACCTGGTATATAAACTAAGAGAAGACAAATAAGTACTAGAGTTGGTATAAAATCTTTAAGATAAAAAAAGTAAACCTCTTTGAACTTCTTCAAAATATTTTCACAAATGTATATTCAAATTTTTAGCATTTAAAGAAATCAACAGCCAAAATACAAATCACTTTTAAAAAATTGACTACAATTAAGTTCATTCCTATCTACAATCAAAATGTCTGAAGAGTTGTATTTTTTATAACTGCTGGATAATCTGAAAATTGATAATGCATAATAACAATTTCCAAATGTAAGACCACAAAGATCTTTCTTTATCACGAGAAATAATCAGCAAGTTTTTGGTACTATATTTCAACACAGAATCATCAAAACTGCACTTGGTCAACCAGATCCCTCAATTAACAAAAATAAACAAATGTCAGCTACCCAGTGTTACAAGGAAAGAAAGATTAGAAGGCATCACTTGGTATGAATACAGTAGCTATTATATATTCATTCACAAATGTCTGTTATGTGCATGCATAATTAGGCTAGCCAACATTTGGAGTACTCTTAATATTTAAGGGTTGTAATGTTTTGAATAGGCAAATTACAAACAAAATTACTATGACCCTTCAATACTGAATATTTAACCCATTCAACAAATATTTATCAAGACCTATAACGCCCTTAGAATAATGCAGAAACTAGGGATACAATGGTCAACAAAACAAAAGTAAAAAATTATTTGCCACAGTTGACAGAATGGAAAAAATATATATATCCAACTCTGAACACCTCAAGCACTGCTTTTATTTTCCCTTGGTCTACTAAGCAGATTTTATGTCCTCAAACATCCCCTGAATGCGCTACCATGGGAATAGAAAACAGACTGTTTTAAAAAGTGAGTACTGTGAAAGCAAAGCATGCTTTATAACCAACTGCTTTCCTCTAAACAAAGAGAGCAGGACAGCAGCCACACATTTAGATTGTACTACATTTCTAAATCTAATCTATCCTGCCAGCATAAATTAATATCTAGATAAGACAGACCTCTCCTAACTGAGCCATCAAAGGATATTAACTAACGTGCAAAGAAACAGCCTTCAAGATGGCAGTATTTTAGTTTTGTCAGATTGAAATCCAACAAAGAGCAGAGAGATGCAAAATTCAAACTGCCCAGCCTACATTTCATCTATCAATACTCAATGAAACCTGGCAGAAATAGTTCTGGACCAGGTTTTATATAATTCTTAATCAATCTTAAAAGCAGCAATGAAGTCACTGAAGCACCATCTGAAACCCACAACATCATGAAATACTAAACATTTCCAAACAGCAACAATATAGAAAAATTACTGGGCAAGAGTACATATTCAAAAACATGCATGTGAGAATGAAAGAACTTAAAGAATTACTAAGTTGAAGAAACTAAGTAGCCACACAAAACCACATAAAGAAAAACACCAATATACTGTTCAGTAAACTAAAGGGAGATAAGGAACTGTGGATACCATGACCTCACAGTTTCATTTCTAGTATCTAAACCAGATGCAAACTAGATGTACCTATTAACATATAAATCAGCAGAAATGACTACCAATTATGATAATCGGCACCCAAGCCTAAAAATGTCATGGTAAAATATCCAGCACCCATCCCTGCAACCAGCAGCAGCAGCTAGAAAGTACAGGGTGGGGGCAAAAGTAGGTTTACAGTTTTGAGTATGGAAAACAGCTTATTCTTGTATTATTTATTAATTGTTGTATTATTTTCCATACGAACAAATGTAAACCTATTTTTGCCCCACACTGTATATGCATCTCCTACTGAAATATTGCAGTACTGCAACTGAATACTGCTATGTGAAATAGTTATTATGCAGTAGTAGCTTTTGCAGTTCAGACTACATACAAAACCTCAAGGCAGACAGCATTCTACAGAAAATTAATTTCCAAGCTAAGAAGATTTACCTAAGACTTTTTTTCTTAATGCCACAGTGATTTCCTTTTTATAGAGCACTTCTGGTCCAATTTAACACAAAGTTCAATTCATTACAATTTCTGTTGACATCTTTATCACCAAAGTCACCTTTTGTTTTAAAATCTTTTGACTTGTTCACTATTTCAAAATAACTTTACTGTATTTTGTTTTATATAGACTGCGGAGCTTGATTTCTATCTGTAGGAAGGATATCTATATTCATGTAATTAACACATAAAACTAGAGTTTCAAGATTTTATTTCCCTTTAAATTGTTTTACTTGTAGCTGTACAGTCTGCGATTATCTCATGAATCTTTTCAATTTTAGAACCCTTCAACTGTATTCCCAATCCTACAGACAAGCAATGAGATAGCTTTTCATAACTGACAAAGTATGTATCGACAAATAAATTATTAATTTGGAGCAATGTCTGGATTCTAGATCCAATCTTGAATGTTCTGATTCAGTGGGTTGAGGGTGACAACCTGTGAACCAGATAAAACCGTCTAACAAATTATTCCAATGCACAGTCAGGGTTAGATGCCATTATCTTAAAGGTATTAAATCATGCGCCTGCCCCAAAAAACCTTACTTCAGAGTACGTAGGCAAGGTGTATATAGGTGATACCACTGTCTATATATATTCATTTATGGTAGATAGAGCCTTTTAGGAATAAAAGGTTGGCAAACCAGCTTTTATTCCACAAGCCAGGCACTCTGCTATGGCTATGCATCTACAACTAAACACAAGGCCCACTGAAATTGGTGTTGTAACAGGAGTTTAAAAGACAATTCCATAACGGATTCCAAAAGATACAGATGAGAGAAGGGAGAAAAGAGGTACTTCAGGTTGAGGAAATAATCTGTTATTTTTACTCAGCTCCAATGAAACAGGGTTTTATGGACCATTTAAGTAGAGAAGGGAAGGTGTGTCAGGTACTCTTTCAAGTCAAAGGCAAATTATTTTTCTTTTTCATTGTTACAAATTGCCACAGTTCTAAAAGTATGATTAAAATCAACAAACTTCATTCCTAAAACTAATAGTCTATGATAAATGGATGAGACTAGGAAAATGTATTAGGATGTGATGGTACTTACTTTAGAGATTTGGTATTTGAAAATAAAACAGAACTGAAACTGGTCAATTATAGCAGGGCTTATGAGACACACTGCGTGGCCAAGCTGATCTGAGGTTCCTTCAAAGCCCTCAAACTCAGTTATCTTTGTAATGCAAGGTTGTTACAACAGTTTCGAGGAGGGACTCTATTGCACACCAATGACTAATAGCTAATGGACGCTGGCAATCTTTAGTCAAAAAAGCGGCTCCTTCTTTGAAGTTTATCAATCTGATCTCTCCAAACATTTCTTTAACACAAAAGACAAAAGATACTATTAATGAAGATGTTCAAAAATCTTATTTCTAGCCCTTCTTTTTAACTCCAGACTTTTATCTGTCTATACCAGGGGTGGGGAACATATGGCCCGTGAAGTCATTTGGTCTGATCTTGCCAAGGCAAACGCAGGCGGGACTCGAAATTCAATAAATCTAGGAGCTTTTTTCATAGCTAAGTTTTAAGTTGATAATTTTGTATGGCCCTCGAATGATGTTATAAATATCCAAAAGGCCCTTGGCAGAAAAAAAGGTTCCCTGCCCCTGGTCTATACCAACAGCTGATATCCTTCGCATACCTCCAACTCAATATACTCCCAAATGACCCATCTCCAGAGTCTTTTCACCTCTCAATCCCAAAACCTGTTGCTCCTTTCTTTATCCCCTACTTTCGTTAACGGGAAAGTGATTCAAGCCAATATATGGAAAATGTCTTCCCACACTGAATCAGTTAATTAGTTAACTACTTTATTAACTCCTTAAGATCTTAGGATGTATTTACCTATCATTCATTCATCCATCCATGCAACCATCCTATCAGAATCAATTTATTTGACTGACCTTGCTCATCTTTTTTTCCTGTACCTGTGCCCTACCTACTCTCCCAACTCCTGATTTCTATAGTATTTTACAAAAGCCTAGGTATGAAACTGACTAGAAATTTTAAAACACTAGTTATTGTATGTGTCTAATGTGTGCACACAGGGTGGACATAATTTCAAAGTTTTTTTAAATCTAGTGTACAATTTGTATTCATAATAATATAAACTGCTATATATACAAATGACAAACAGAAGGTGAACATGATATATATTTTATAAAAGGGTAATTCAACAATTTTTACTGTAAAATGTTGCTTTGAACATTTTTTTTTAATGTGATAATAGATACACTGACTGCTCCATTAAAGCTGCATTTGATGACCAAATTTGTACAACCACAAATTCAGGTAG